TAGAATGCTTAGCTTCCTAAATATATCTTCCGTGTGGGAAGCTGGGATAGGAAAATTAAATTCTTGCATGTTTAAAGTGGACGGGCCAGTAATATTTGCAGAAGCCAAGTAGAAAACGGAAACGCTTAAGCCGGCTTTGCCCCTTGCAGAGGGATGCTTGGCCGGGACCTCTCCCCTGGGGCCCTTTCCCAAGGCCGGAATCCACCCAGGAGGAGCTTGCTGTGAACTGATGGCCCAGATGCCTGGTGTGGCTCAAGGCGGCATTCTTGGAATAGGACCCTGCGGTTTCTCTCTTACTTCATCTTGTTAAATCGGTCCCGGTGATTGGGCTGGGTACCAGAGATAGTAGCAGTTCCCACAAACTGCCATGAAATTTAAACCCTTCTGGAGCTCCATCGTCCTCCCACGCTGCCACGGCGAGAGGCGGAGATGGGAGAAAGAGGGTGAACGGGCAGTGCCACCCCCCCACCCCGRGCCTGGCCTCATCCAAGCCCCAATCAGTGTCTTGAATATGTATGTTTTGGATTCCTCTTGTTCGGTAGGCAGCATTTCATTTTTTAAAACCAGAGTTTGGAATAAATGTATCCAAAGTGTGGGAAATAATTTTTTTTTAAAGTAGCATAGTAATGGAGAATATTCATTCACAAGGCAAATTTCTCCTCCTGCTGTGAAAAGAAATGATCACATCAATAGTTTTGCTTGTCCGTAGTGGGCATGGGATTTTAACTACGATAATATAAGAAAAATAGTCCAAGTCAAGCAATGAGAATGGAAAAGGTGTTACTTAAAATTAAAGTTAATGAATGTTTGTCACCTGGTCACTGTGGGCATTTTTTTTTTTTTTTTTTTTGTACTGGGGATTGAACGCAGGGCCTTGTGCATGTGAGGCAAGCACCCTACCAACTGAGCTGTATCCCCAACCCCTATTCTTTAGTTTTTAACTTAACACAAACCTATGCTCAGCTGATCAGCTCACAAATGCCAGTTGCTTTAGATGCCACGTTGCTTAAATCAACTGGTAGCTCCATTTTTAAACTGGAGACATAATTCTCATGCTTTTTGGCATCTATTTTCTCAGGCAGAAACTTTATTTCAATGAACACTGTTGGTCATACATTGTTGCTTAACCTGAGCCGTTATAAGAAGGTAAGAGAGAATCACTGTCGTCTTGGGCCTAACGAAACTACACACATGCACACCTTATGTTGTAAGGCAATGAGAATATGCTGTTACACAGAATAACGCTTCCATTATTCTGTTTCTACTTTTTATATTAGGTATAAAACCTAAATATCTCAATATTTTTTTTTTCATCAGAATTGCTGTTGGGGTGAGAACATCATGTTTTTGTTTTGTTTATAATACTGGGATTGAATCCAGGGGCATTTTACCACTGAGCCACTGGCATTTTGTCCAGCCCTTTTTATTTTTTATTTTGAGACAGGAGCTCACTCAATTGCCCAGGCTGGCTTTGAACTTTCACTCTTCCTGTCTCAGCGTCCCCCCTACCCTCAGTTGCTGGGATTACATGGGTGGGCCCTCTTGCCCAGCAGCATCCTATGTGTTGGAACAAATTCTCTGTTGAGTTTTCTGGGCTAGGGTGAATGTCTAACAATGTTACTCATCGTCTAAGAACATTAGATTCTGCTGGCCAGAGGATATTTTGATTTGCCATCACCATTCCTGATTAGCAGTGAATGGATTGGGATTATAAAGGGGTGAGGAACTTGAAGTTTCCTGGAGAGAAATTTGGRAAAGAGAAAAAGTCTGGGTACAAATGCAGTGAGCTTCAAATAGGGAATCCTGGTAGCAATGCTTCAAAGGTGARTCAGGGGCAGCAGAAATATCTGATGAGAATTTTTTTTTTTTTTGCATTTTTTCAAAAAATTGTGGTACCCCCCCATTTACTAAAATTTATCATTTTAGTAACTTTTTTGGTGATTGTGATTATCATAATTTCTTTTTTTATTTGTTCTTTTTAGATATACATGATACTAGAGTGTATTTTGACATATTATATATCCATGGAGTATAACTTATTCCAATTAGGATCCCATTCTTGTGGTTGGACAGTTCAGTAATGTTAAGTATATTTACACTGTTATACAACCAATCTCCAGAATTTTATCTTGTAAAATTGAAACTCTATACACAATAACTTTTCATTCCCCTCCCCTGCAGTCTCTGGAAACTAGTAAGATAATTTTACAATATTATGGTGGGTTTTGCAGTATAATTTCTTTCCTTGCTCAAAAAAAAAAAAAAAAAAAAGAAAAGAAAAGAAATCTACACTGCTCTTGAATGTTTTCCTGAAAATTAGGRAACCCTAAAGTGGTGGTGAGTTATAGTAGGGTCTGGAGGTCTGGGCGAAGACAGCTTGCAGGGGTGAGAGGCTGAAATGATAACTGCCGTCTTTTTGCTCTTGGAAATGCACATTAAATGAYAGCTTGCTCTTTTTAATTGCCACTTTATTGTGGTAAATCTTGAAAATATTATTATGTATAGGTTGCATGTTTATTTCTGCTAAGATTGCATGAGGATACGGAAAATATCCTGAAATACTTACTACTTATTTTCATGTACCCTTAGTGGCATGATCACACTACTTATATATAATAATATCTTTAGATTCCCTACAATAAAAGTGTCAATAAAAAAAATGAACAAGCTAAACTTCCCACTTAAATAAAACATTGCAAAGTAGCAAGCAAAAGGTGAGGGAGGTAGTTTTCAATTTTTCTTTTTCATTTGTGCAGTGAAGGACATTTCTGCCTTTACATGTCTGCTCTCTTCTATATTTTCTTAAACATGCAGATTCTTTACACAGAGTTCTCGAATCTTTTGGCTATTTCATAGGTTCCTATGCTGCATTTGTGGATTGGATACCTGTGGGAGGCAATTATGTACTAAACTCATTTGAACTGAGTGTGGCCTATGTGGTAGTCATCAGGACAGGATAGGATGTGTAGTTTTATGTCTGCCAGTAAGCAAATCCTTTAACAGGGCACAGATGATTTAACAGCTTGGCTAGTGAGCCCAGGGTACATTGCTTTCATTCCCCTGCCTGTTATACCTGGTAATTTGCCAGTGTAACAGGTGAAAATTGATGAGTGGGTAGCGATTTCTGGGACACAGACTGGAGGAGCCAGGAGYTCTGAATTCCTTTGGCAACAGCTTCATCTCATGGTGTGAATTATATTGTAGTACTACTATGCACTACTTTTCAACTTATTTCTATATAGAAAGGGAGAATGGTTCCAACAAGCTGAGTTTATGCTACCGGCATGCACATGGGGCAGTAGGGAAAGATGGTACACAAAAGATTGTTATTATAAACATATATTTTAACGTTTTTTTTCAGTTGTACCTTTATTTTGTTTATTTGTTTTTATGTGATGTTGCAGATTGAACCCAGTGACACAAGTGCAAGGCAATCACTGAGCTACAACCCCAGCCCCGTGTTATTTTATGTGTGTGTGGGTGTGGGTGTGGGTGTGGGTGTGTGATTTTCGGTGATGGGGAGGTACTGGGAATTGAACTCAGGGGCATTCACCCACTGAGCCACATCCCCAGTCCGATTTTGTATTTTATTTAGAGACTGGGTCTCACTGAGTTGCTTAGTACCTCACCACTGCTGAGGCTGGCTTTGAACTTGAGATCCTCCTGTCTCAGCTTCCCAAGCCGCTGGGATTACAGGCATGTGCCACCATATATTTTTATGTCTCAGGCAAGACAGATTTCACATGAAAGTAAAATTGATCCAACTCTTTTTCTCTTTTTAAATTTAATTTGTGATTGGCATGTATTAATTGTTCCTATTAACGGGGTTCAGTATGATAATTCAATACGTGCATAGTTATTTAGAATCTTATTTCCTTTAGAACATTTTTACTCAGTGACCTCATGGTAAATAGGGAGGGTCATTTTTTAAAAATCAATCAGATGATAAATTTCATTGAATTTGTATTTCGCCCTTTGAAATATGTGTCCTTGAAGAATGTGAGAGAAGCAAACAGTAAGAAATTCACTAGTTCTCAATTTACTAGTATAAAATCAGAACAGGATCTCATCAGGTACATGGCTTACACATATAGACTATTGTGAACAATGCATTAGACTGAAGAGCCTATTTAACAATGAACTCATATTTTTCAGATTGTATATACTTTTTTCTATAAATAATTGTAAAGGGTGATTTCAAAAAACTCTTTAAAAGACAATTAACTAGTATTCTTAAAAAAGTGTTTTTTCCCCACATGCTGATAACATAGACATTAGAATAATAAAATCAAGAAAGTTAGTTCTTTAAAAATAATTTCTAGAAGTAAGGGTTTTACCATGGTATGTTCAGAAAGGGTTGCCATGCTGGCCTCTCTGACATGAATGGGGAAAAAAAAAGGAGAAATGATATGTACGCTCTTGTGTTCATGTTATCAGCAGGGTTTTATTTGAGGTCTGGTCTTTCATGCGGAATTGTTAATGCTTGCAAGTGTTATTTCCAGCTCACCATCATTTCTTCAGGTTGGATGAGTTTCTCAGGGATGAGCCATTTTTGTAAGGCTACTCCATTTTGCAGGATGAAATTATGCCTGTGGGCTACCAGAACAGACAGTGAGGGGTAATTGAAACAGACAACTGAAGTATTCCCCCACACAATTGCCCTTTTCTAAAGCTGTATAAGATTTCTGGAGGAGAGCTGCAAAATCATTAGAAGACATTGTTCCAACAACACATGGCAATTAATTGAAACGTAATGGGTTTCAGGGCTCTGGCTCAGGCCCAAGATGCCCATGAATGTCATTGGAAGATGCACGTGATGACTATCAGTCCACCTTTCTATTTTCAGTCAAATAGAACTCACCAGACTTTGTCTAATGTTGATTTACAATGCTGCTTCATGCAAAAAATCTCCCTTTAAAGAACAGGAGCAGAACTAATTGTTGGTAATGTATTCTGATGCAAAGAAATGGACTGATTGTCTCTTCTTGTTGTTTGCAAAGCCTCTGCCACCTTGTCATGACTCCGTGGAATCCATGCAGGTGTTCAAACAGCACTGCCAAATAGCAGAAGAATACCATGAGGTCAAAAAAGAAATCGCCCTGCTTGAGGAAAGAAAGTAAGTACTAACCACGCCCCCCAAATACTCACTCTCCTCCAAGCACCTTCTGTTTTGCAAAGGCTGGAGGTGGGTGAGAGGGGAGCAGGTTGTGGGAATGGTCTAGATAAATGGTCCTGCTGTAGCTTGAGTGCTTTACTTCATGGAGTAGCAAAAAGAACAGAGGGGTGCTTTTACTCAAAACTTTAAATTATTTTTTTTAAATAAAATATTTTGCTTCAGGAAATTAAATTGACAAATTACTACSTAGAGTCATACTATGTTCTCTGTAAATGTGCCTGAGGCCCTAGAGCGCTTTGGCTTGGAGTGGATTTTAATTAATTTTTAAATGGTAGAGTTTCTATATTAAATGGAGAAGCCACTGGGGTAAGTTTTTGGAATAATGGAATAATGCAGATGTATTAGTTGTCCAGCTATTTTATAGTCTGAATAAATTTTTGTCTTGATGGCTCTTAATACAATTACAGTTCTGCTATAGGGGATTATTCAGTTCTATTAATTAGAGTATTCTAATTATACTCACCCATAACTTTTTGTTTCAGAATCCCCCTTTTTAACTGCACTCAGTTCTGCTTACATCTACCCAAGTGACTCCTCATTTTCTTATTTCAAAGCAACAGCTTTAGACTCTTCGACTTTCTACTATTGAACAGTTAGTACTTATACATTTTATTRGGGATATTTTTGTCACTACTAAGTGGTGAGTGCCATAAAATCATGGAAAGTTAGATGTTGACCATCTTTAAATTCTGGAAGCCTGGGCAATTATGTGACACCCAACGGCTAAGAAAACCGTTGTCCAATGCATGAAACAGAACTCAAACATAGTGTAATTCTTAACTTTTATTTCTTCTTTTCCATCTTACATGATATATATTTATAACTAGATTTTTAAATGAGAGAAAGTGAAATGAATTTTGTTTACAGAAACTTAAATTCTTAGTGCTCTTTTAAGAATCCCCAGAATAGTGGTTAGACAACATGACTTGGTGGTGGAGAATGGATTTGGGGAGCAGACTTCTGTACTTACTCTAAGACCTCATTTAGCTCTTTCTTACTTCCTTGCTCTTCCATGCTTCAAATCTAATATTCTACCTGACTTTGGTTRTATGGGATTAAAAGATGTTATTAAGAAATCAGAACAGGGTACATGTCTATAATTCCAGCTACTCAGGAACCTGGGCAATTTAGTGAGACCCTGCCTCAAAATAAAAATTTAAAAAGGAGTTAAGGTATAGATCAGTGGTAGAGCACTTGCTTATCATGGGTCCAATCCCCAATACTTACATAAATAAATTAGGAAATAAAATCAGAAATACAACATTTTCTTCATAAATCTGAGGGTTCCTTTTGGTCTATGAGTTTTGATAAGTTGCCTGGAACACTCAGGTTGCACATTTATATAGTCTGCTTCTTAAAAACAATTTTATAAAAAAATTAAAGATTATTAGTGATGTAACAAATGTTGCATTCAAAGGAAGACTGCCATAATCAGTAGAGTGTGTGTGTGTGTGTGTGTGTGTGTGTGTSTGTGTGTGTGTGAACTGAAGTGGTATGATAGAAAAAACCCCAGATAGTTTTGTCTTTCTTTGTAAATGCTTTAGTTCGATTTTATTGGAATACTTTGTTACTTAAATTAAACCCATGTATGGCATTTTGGGAGCAACACAAGAATCATGCACTAAATTATATGTTCTGCAAGTTTATATTTTTATATATTTATATTTTTWAAAAATGATAGAATAATAACACGAGAGTTAGTCATATATGGTCTTTGAAATATAGCCTTACTGCTTGTGTTGGGAAACGGGATAACTTGTGGGTACCACCACAATATTAAAATAAGACAAGGCATAGTCAACTTCTAGAAAGAAGATGGCTAGCAGACTAGCAGAAGTACTTTATACAACCTTCCAGAAACATAAAGAAGTAGGCTAGCCCCTTATTTAGATAAGCCCRTGTATGCTTCTGCAGAACTCATCTTAAATCCTCCCAAACCTCTTATCTGATGCTTTCCCTAAACAATGGATGTATCACTAGTTTTCTTCTTCCTCCTCTTCCTCCTTCTCCTCCTCCTTTCTCTTTTTAGTTTTCTTTCTTTGACATAAAGTTTCTCAAATTTTTTTCAGCATTCCCAATTCTACCATCTTGGTTGATGCAATAACTGGTGTTCCTGCCTATGGTTTCTTGTTGCTAGAAAGTGACAGCCAGTTTGGGGCCTGGATTTCAAGAGCCACCATAGCCTGCCTACATACAATGTCTACATCCCTCGCTTCAGTGGCATTGGCCTATTCACTTTTCCCAGGTAGGAGGAGGATCCTCCTGCATCTGAGGCCTGTTCACACCATGTTCTTGGACCCTTTCCTCCTCTGTGGCTGCCCAAATGCTGCCCAGCGTGGCTGAGAGTTCAGCCCATATCCCTGCCCAGCCATCACAGAATGATCAGTACTTTTCCGGAGCAAAAGAAGAGTCGCTAGAATGATTCTTTGGTACTTTTTATGAATCAGTATTATGGATGGCTGTCTGTTTATTTCCTATTTTTCTGACTGTGTATAATTCCCGCAGACATAGATACCCTTTAGCATCTCTTTGTATCCTGGTCATCTGTCATAGACCTGTGTGTGCATAGGGTCAAATATGAGTAAGGTTGATTTGGAGTAGCCAATTATAGGTTATAGTAAAATCCTTTGTGTGCACACACTYTATTTTTAGTTTGTGTAGTCTATATTTAAAATACAGTCAATATCAGCAATAAAGTGTTGCTAAGATAAATTGTTAAATAGGGAAGTCTGGTTATATTTATAAACAAATGAGCCTCATCCTCCAAGAATTATTAGCAGTTGTTGTTTTCAGTTAACACTGTACTGAAGCAGAAATTCATTTTACAGCAAATCTTATCCTCAAGTCTTTGTTTTCAAACAAAGTGCAATGGGCCAGATGGATTTGACCCAAGTAATTAGCTCTTCAGTTTTTTTTTTCTTTTTTGATGATTGATAAGAATTTCTTCCTCATCATTTCATAAAGTGTGGCTGATTATGTTGCCTCCGGTGGTTGGTTAGACCAAAGAAAGATGCTAATTAAAGTAGTTTAAAAGAGAGTTTTTCTTCGTTGGAGTTATTCACACACAGCTTGTAGTTTAAATTTCAGACTGAACTTCTCCCTCATCTCCAGAGGAGGTCTCCCTGGATCAAGTTTGGGAGAATTTGCAGCGGTGGATGAGAAAAGTTGCTATAACTATTATTTTTAATCATGTTATTGCATGGATAAAGAAGTCAAACACTTTTAGTATCATACACTTACCCTAGGATTAATCCAGTTTAAAGAATCATTCCTGGCTTATGAATAGTGAGGTAAGAGAAGCTCATTTCTACTTTTATTAAACTTTTTTTTYCTTTTTACTATTAAAAAAACCCACAAAAAATGAGAACTTTATTAAAATTAAAACATTACTAAGAATTCTGATGTCTTTAAAGAACTCCTGCTATCATTTTTAACCTACTTGTTTCTAGGCCTTTTTGTATGTGAATATATAGCTCCACATAATCGCACATAAAATAGTATGCTTTTTTTTAGTACATATTATAAGCATTTTACACAACACATATAGCTTTTTGTGTATGTAATGGAAGCTAATGGAAGTGAGATAAAATATTTGATGGCTTTTAGCTTGTCCAAAGGAGAAATCACTTGTCTGATCTATGTATTTGGTGTTTAGAAGATTGACTTAGAATAACAAACAAAGAGAGTGACTCTTAGAAAAGTGATCGGCTTCTTTCACTCGTACAGTGTTTTCCAGGTTCACCCATGTTGTGTCACGCATCCATACTTCATTCCGTTTTACTGTTGAACAATATTTCATTGCAGAGATGTACATTTTACTTATCCTTTCATCATTTTCTAGACATTTGGATCATTTGTAGTTTTTGGCTATTATGAATCATGCTGTTATAAACATTCATATACAAGAGCATATGTTTTCAATTCCCTCCTGTGCTAGAAGTAGAAATGTTGGGCCATATGATAACTCCACATGTAACCCTTTTGAAAAACTGCCTTGCTGTTTCCAGGGGGTTGCTCCATCCTCTGTTCTCACCAGCAGGGTATAAGGGTTCCAATTTCACATCTTTGCCAGGACTCATTGGGCCTTTTTGACATAGCCGTCTAGTGAATGTGAAATGATGTCCCATTGTGGTTTTAATTCACATTTTCCTGACGGCTCTTTGTGTGCTTSTTGGCCATTTCTCTGCTTTCCTGGGGAAATGTCTGCTCAGAGCCTTTGCCCCCTTTTAAGTGGTTAAGTGATCATTTCATTATTGAGCTTAAAGATGTTATGTAATCTCAGTGAGTTCAGGCAAAACATTAGAAGGTGGTTTTATATGTGGTTCCCACAATCATTGCGAGATTTATATTCTCATGTCTTTAAAAAATATGTAACATAATCACTGAGGAAGCAAGGCCTCATCTAGGGGAACAACGTCCATATGTATTTCATAAGAGCATAGTCTAAAATTAGCCCTAAAATTGTTTTTAGTCATGGTATTTGATTTTTTTTTTCTAAAATTGTCAACAGGAGATTTTAATGTTCAAATAGAACCATTTTATTTCTTTAGGATGTCCCAGAGACAAGAGATTTTTAAGCTGTGTTCTGGGGAAGAGTCTCAGCTATTAGGAAGGGAGAGGGTGTCAGAAAGGGTATGATATTAGGGTCAACCAGAAGAGTTCCAGTTTTATCTGTTTTATGTTGGAGGATTATTTGTTTGGAAAAAAGACGGCACAGTCTGAAAACACTGAGAACCAAACTTTGCTTTTATAGTCCAAACATATTTCTCTTAGATATTTACTCGGCCTCCAGAAATTAGGTTTTCACTGTCGTAAAGAAAGAGTAAGTGGAGCTATTTCTCCACAGGCATTTGCAGGATATATAGAAATGTGGGGTCAAGTGTGTCCTCTCTTTCCTTTGCTGTCTGATGTGGGCATCTGTATGGGATGTGAGTTCCTTT